GTGAGTTGGCAGCGATGAAAAGTTCCATTCACCAGGGTGGCTGTGGCATTGCTGGTGGGAGGACAGATAGGCTTATTGTGGGTAGATGGGCAGCCTGGCAGTATCTGTCCAAATCATAAATGGTCAGACTGTGTTTTCTTCAAATCCAGTCATTACTCTTTGAGGGAAAGGTCAAAAAAATACCTGCCTTGTAAATTTTTCTGGCTTTCACTTGTTAAAGGATCCCTGGTAACATAGTTGCGAGTTGGGCTGCTAGCAGCAAGGTCAGCAGTTTGAACCCACTAGCCCCTCCTCAGGAGAAAGATGAGCTTTCTAGGGTGAGGTGGGGAAAAGGCAAGGGGGTGTCAACAAACCCAGGGACAAGGGAACAACAAGTAATCTAAAATCGATGGCAAGGAGGGTGTAGGATGCCTGGTAGGGCTTGATCAAGGGCAATGTAGCCGAGAGGAATTACTGAAACCCGAATGAAAGTTGAACAGGATAGTGGGACAAGAGGAAAGTAAAAGGAAATAGAGGAAAGAACTAGGAGGCAAAGGGCATTTATAGAGGTCTAACTATAGGCACGTATGTATGTAAATAATTTTTTATATAATGATAGGGAAATAGATCTAGGTACATATATTTATATGTTAAATATTAAGATAGGAGATAGACATTGTGCCTCTACTCAAGTACTCCCTCAATGCAAGAACACTTTGTTCTAATAACCCAGCATTCTGTGAAGCTCATCTTCCCTATGATTGCTGAAGACAAAATGCGTGCATAAGCAAATGTGGTGAAGAAAGCTAGTGGTGCCCGGCTATCAAAAGATACAGTGTCTGGGGTCTTAAAGGCTTGAAGATAAACAAGCGGCCATCTAGCTGAGAAGCAACAGAGCCCACATGGGAGAATCACACTAGCCTGTGTGATCACGGGGTGTCGATGAGATCAGGTATCAGAGTTTAAAGACCTAGAACAGAAAATCACAGCATTGTGAATGAGGGGGAGTACTGAGTGTAGACCCAAAGCCCATCTGTAGGCAACTGGACATCCGCTTACAGAAGGGTCGTGGCGAGGAGATGAGTCAGTCAGGGTGCAGTGTAGCACCAATGAAACATACAACTTTCCTCTAGTTCTTTAGTGCTTCCTTCCCCCACTATCATGACCCCAATTCTACCTTACAAATCCGGCTAGACCCGAGCATGTACACTGGTACAGATAAGAGCTGGAAACACAGGGAATCCAGGACAGATAAACCTCTCAGGACCAATAGTGAGAGTAGCTATAGGTCAGTGTAAGACATGGAAAAAAAGAATTTATAAATTATCAAGGGTTCATGAGGGAGGGAGGGAGGGTGGGGGAGTGTGAAAAATGAGCTGATACCAAGGGTTCAAGTAGAAAGGAAATGTTTTGAAAATGATAATGGAACTTATGTACAAATGTACTTGACACATGGTGGATGGATGGATTGTGATAAGAGCTGCATGAGCCTCCAGTAAAATGATTTTAAAAAGCGACGGTCTCAGAAACACGCTGGGGCACGTCTACTCTGCCCTATAGGGTCACAATGAGTCAGAACCAACACGCTGGCAGTGAGTTTGTTTTTTCACTTGTTAAAAATTTTAATAACAATCTAATTTAAAAGCAAAGTGTCGTTACAAATCGGCAACGTCATTAACATGCTTTTACGATGCACCTTGCAGAACCTAACCACAAAACTGGAGCATGCTCCCAGTCGCTCTCTACAGCATTGTTGACCAGTAAGTTACTGTCCTATTGCCCAGTGTCTCATTCAACAGGACCCCCTGGTGGAGTAGTGGTTACACATTGGCCTGCTAACTGCAAAGTCACTAGTTCAAGGCCACCAAGCCATTCCTCTGGAGAAAGAAGAGGCTTTCTGCTCCCATACAGAGTGACAGTGTCAAAAACCCGCTGGGGCAGTTTCGCCCCCCTTTTAGGGTCCCTGTGAGCCGTCGACTCGATGGCAGTGGGAGGAGTGGCAGGGACGACACACAGCTGTCTGAGAGTTCAGAAGGCAGTTAAGTCTTGACCCAGCCCTGCTGTTTCTGTGGGTTTATCTGACTCAGACATCTGTGAACTTTATTATGTATTTGTTGGAGGTTATTTGTAGTAGCAGAAGACTGAACTACTGAAGTGTCTCTCAGTAGTGGGATTTGTTAAGTTAAAAAATGGAATGTTCTATACACTGTCAAAAGAATACAGCTACAAAGCGATTTCATACATGCATTTTGATAGGTAGACATGGCAAAGGAGAGGCATGCCTGGTATGTTAGTTTGTGGGAAAAGGGGAAAGTGTGTGCGTGTGTACAAATAAAGCGTTTGTGGAATGATATTTGTGGGTGGTATTTTCTCGCATTTTGAACTAGGTGGTTGGGAGAAGGGTGAGAGGGAGATTTTTCATCACACATCTTTTTTCAGCCAGTCCAGATTTTGGGTTCAGAAAATTACATTAAATCAAAAAGCAGTCTTGACAGATTTCCATTCGCCCATTTCTTAAGGTTCCTAGCTGTTACACATTCTTTTTAGTACAGTTATTGTCTTAGCCAGGATGGTGACATCGTGGTGTCCACCTGTGCTAAGAAATGTAAATACAAATAAGAGAAGGAATGAAGTGGTTTAAAGGAGAGAGAATTTTTTTTATCAGACTAGTCAATGGACCTGGTTTTTAAAAAGCCAAATCAAGTGATGGACAAATAAAAACACTCAGTTCTCTCCCCACTGAGTCCTCCCTGCTTTTAGCTGTTGCTACTGGCTACTTGAGTTCTGGTGATGAAGTGGTTACAGACTGAACTGCGATCTCCGTGGTTAGCAGTTCAAAACCACCAGCTGCTCTGAGGGAGAAAGATGGGGCTTTCTACTCCCATAAAAAGGTAACAGTCTCAGAAACTCAACGGGGCAGTTCTACCCTTCCCTGCGGAGTTGGCCTTGTCTTGAGGACAGTGAGAACTTGCTATTTATTTCCTTATTTCTTTTCAGATTTTTAAAAATTGTGAATTAGGTGGGGGAGATACATTTCAGACCATCACCTCTGTATACAACAGTTCAAAGCAGTCAGCCCCCCTCTGATTACCCCCTGCCCCCCGCTGTGCTGTGCCCTGCCCCCTTCCCCCAATTTCTCTTTTCTCTCTCCAGGTAGGTCTCCATCTTCCAGTTCACCAGTCATCGCCTGCCAGCTCTTGCTTCACTCTGCCTCCCTAGCGCCTTCTCGGGTAACCGCCCCAGTCTGCTCCCTGGGGCGTGCGTTTTCTCTGTTCCTGCCGTGCTAGTAGTGGTCTCGTGTAGTGTTTCACTTTGTGCTTGACCAACTCCTCTCAGCATCATGTTCTCCAGGTCCATCTGTGTCATGAGCTGCTTCATGGTTTTATCGTTTTTCGGGTTTATTTTAAGCGATGCACAGTATTCCATTGTGTATATGTACCCTACCTGCTTTATCCATTCTTCTGGGGATGGGTATTTGGGCCGTTCCCATCTTCTTGCTCTTGTGAACAGTGTCTGGTGAACATGGGAGTGCATGTGTCTGTCTGTGTCATGGCTCTGATTTCTTTAGGATAGCTACTCAGCCGAGGGATTGCTGGCTCATCGGGCATTTCTGTTCCCGTTGTTTAAGCTAGCACCATATCCTTTCCACGTGGTTGTCCATATGTACAGAGTCACCAGCAGTGAGTGAGGGTCCCAATCTGTCCACACACTCCCAGCCTTTGCTGTTTTGTGTTTTTTTGAACTTGGCTGTCACTATTGGTAAGGTAGGGGTCAGCAGACTTTTGAGACGAAGAGCCAATCCTGTCCCTTAGAACAATTTAAAATTGTCTTGAGAGCCGTAAATGTGTTTTTATAAACAAATGAAGTCACCGTTATCTGACTAATAGCCTTTACAAATGTTCGGTTTCACTGTGGAGCCCTATGCGTGTGCAGGGAGAGCCACACGTGGTGCTTGAGCCTCCGTTGCTGCCTCAGAGCGGTCCCTTCACTTGATTTGCATCTCCTGGTGGCTAGTGCAGGCGAGCGTGTCTTCCCGTGTTTGCTGACCCTTGGGGAAGGGGACCTTCGATGTTCTTGTCTTTGGCCCAGTGAAACAGACGGACAGATTCACTGACATGCGATTCACATATCCAGTTGAGTAGTTCAGCCCCATGCATCCGAGTTGTTCAACCATTGGTAGAAGAGCTGTAAGAGCCCCCAATAAAAGTATTTTTAAAAAATAAAGAACCCCCAATAAAATGGTTTATTTAAAAAAATAAAAAAAAAGAGTTGTTCAGCCATCACCACAGTCAATTCCAGGATGTTTCTCCTGTGTTGTACACGTTTCCTGCCAGCCTCCCCGTCATGTCCCTTTGGAACTATTAATCCAGTTGCTGTCTCTATAGCTTTATGTATCCGGGTTTCACATCCAGTAAGACACACAACAACAACAAAATGGCCCAACCGCAATGGCAGCCAAACCGGAACACGTTGACAGCAAAGCAGAGAATGGACAAAGGGCAGCACTTGTACTCTGGCTCAAGAGGGAGGTTGTGTGGCAAGGTGTCACCTTTGAACTGCTCCAAGGGCACTCGTCCAGCCCTGTCCTCCTCGTCCCCTCAGTGGGCTCCAATGCTCAGTCTCCGTCTGCTAATCCAGTGCTGGATTGCTCACACTTGGTAATTGCTCCAAGCCCATTCGCTTCTCCTTGCCACCCTGTGTGTTTCTTTAGCACTGTTGTTTTAGTTGTAAAAGAGCTTCATCTTCCTACTGTTGGTTAATGATTTATCTTTCTTATGAATTTGCTTGGAGACATCCTGAGACTTACGCTCTTAGTGTCCAAGCACAACCTCTGATGATTGCGATGGTGTTGCCAGGGGCCATCTGGAGCCCTCTTTTCCCCTTTCCCCTTGTACTTGTTGAACGGTGGTTACCGACAGAGAGGTGTGTTCTACTCGAGCAGGTGTATAGTGTTTTAGGAGTATTTCAGGGAAAGTACGCTGATGCTGACCCAGTCTGAAATTTCTCTTCCTTCTCTCTAGGTGGGCTTAAAGAAATGAAGGCTTAAGGACGAGTCGCCTGCCGCAGTAGACAGACATGGGCTCCAACAGCAGCAGAATCGGCGATCTGCCTAAGAACGAGTACTTGGCCAAGCTCTCAGGCACCGAGTCTGTCTCAGAGAATGACCCGTTCTGGAACCAGCTCTTCTCATTTTCTTTCCCCGCACCCACCAGCAGGTAAGAGATGGACCGACCACTGGGAAAAAGGGCCACGTGGACTTGTGTGGTTGACGGATCTGTAGGGCATTTCGAATGTTCCCACCAACTGCCCATCCGTTCCTTGTATGCTCTAATGGAAAAACCACAAAGATGCAAAAAGCAGGAAAATTCTTTCTTGTCCCTTTCACCTGCTCAGCCACCTCCCTTTGCCCAAGATGCTCACTGGCAGTGGTTTCTTTTGAAGACTCCCAGTGATAGTACCAGGTTGTTAAAGCATACATTTCATGTCTTCTACAACACCATCTCAGCCCGACTGGTAGCAAACTACACAACCGGGCCCTTCTTTTTCTTTTGTGTGTGTGTGTGTATCTGATTTCTTTCTTTTTTAAATCATTTTATTGGGGGCTCATACAACTCTTAATCACAATCCATCCATCCTTCCATCCATCCATCGTGTCAAGCACATTTGTACATTTGTTGCCATCATCATTCTCAAAACATTTGCTTTCTACTTGAGCCCTTGGTATCAGCTCCTCTTTTTTCCCCTACCTCCCTGACCTCTGCCCCTCATGAACCCTTGATAATGTATAAATTATTATTATTTTGTCATGTCTTAAACACTGTCCGACCTCTCCCTTCACTCACTTCTCTGTTGTCCATCCCCAGATCCTTGTAATCGATTCCCCATTTCAACTTCACCTTCCCTCCACCCTCCTGGTATCACCACTCTCACCACTGGTCCTGAGGGGATCATCTGTTCTGAATTCCCGGTGTTTCCAGGTCCTATCTCGACCAGTGTATATCTTCTGGTCTAGCTGGATTTGTAAGGTAGAATTAGAATCATGATAGTGGGGGTGGGGTGGGGCAGGAGGAAGCATTTAAGAAGTAGAGGAAAGGTGTATGTTTCATCGTTGCTACACTGCACCCTGACTGGCTCATCTCCTCCCCACGACCCTTCTGTAAAGGTTGTCCAATTGCTTACAAATGGGCTTTGGGTCCCCACTCCGCACTCCCCCTCATTCACAATGATACGATTTTTTGTTTATATGATTGGTCCTTCTTTTTCACAGCCCAATAAAACATATCCGGCTTACATAAGCACCCCGGCCACTGTCTTTCTCATTTTCAAGGCTGTGGGGTATCCATGCTGTATACTGAGTCAGCTTTCTGCTGATGAGTACTTAAGGGTCCCCCCACCCACCCACCACCAAGTGGTTTGTTAGAGCGAAACGTGCTGCGGTGGAAACAGACCTGCCTCCTGACCTCTTCTCGTGGGTTCCGCCCTCACGTGCTCCCCGTCGACAGGTCATTAGCTCTCTGACTTTCCACTGCTCAGGTCTTCAGATGTGCCCTCTGTGTCTGATCCTCAGGCCTCTGTTGAAGAGAGCCATGTAGTGCAGCTGCGTGAGGTGCCATCTTTTCCAGAAGTTATATGGGACAGATTCCTCACAGTAGAGTTCTTGGGTCAGAGTGTTTGTGCCTTTGGCCTCTTGTGGACACTGTCAGACAGTGTGCCATGGCAAGTTGTCCCTCTGGCCTGCACTCCTGCCAGCAAGGGGTGTGGGAGGGCCTATGTCCCTATACCTCGGTAGGCTTTTTGACCTTTGCCACTGTGCCAGGTAAAAAACATTATTTCATTTTAAACTCTTTTACTGTGGAAATGATCATGCTTAAGATTAATCAGAGGTTTAAGTGTGCCTTAGCATCCATTGAAAATTTTCATCCAAATCACCTATTTCATTAGAGATTACAAAATGGAAATTTTTTAAAAAGTTATTTCTTTTCTTAGAATATATGCAACAAAACCAGCACCAGTTCAACGATTTCTACACATGGGGAGCTTTGCTTGTTAACTAGGCTATGTAAAATGTGGTCTCTCTCCCTCGAGGGCTGAGAATTGGTCTGTAAAGACAGCCAGTGAGCCCAGTGTAGCGGGATGGTGGAGGCTGCGGCCGGAGACCGGGCAGCGGCGGGAGAGGGCCGCAGGAGCAGCACCTCACTCTGAGCTGGAATGGAGTGGGGCAGGTCACAGGTTGCTTGGAAAAAGTGACATGTATTTATTTTGTGTTTTGAACTAATTATCATTTGTAATTAATTCCTCTGGATTAAAGGTGACTCTCAGAGCCGTGGTGGTCTAGTGGCTATGCGTTGGGCTGCAATCCACATGGGAGGCAATTCAAAACCACCAGCTGCTCCGTGGGAGAAGATTGGACTTTCTACCCCGGTCAACAGTACAGTCCTGGAAACCCACAGGGGGTCATCATAGGTCAGCATTGACTCGATGGCAGTGAGTTTGGTTTTGGTTTGGTAGAGTCCTGATATCGTAGTGGTTATTTGGGCTATTAACCACAAGCAGTTCAAATCCACCAGCAAGCTTCATGGAAGAAAGAAAGACAAGGCTTCTGCTCCCACAAGAGTTACGCTCTTAGAAACCCACAAGGGCAGTTCTACCCTGTCCTATGGTTGCCATGGGTGGGAATCGGCTCGATGGCAGTGAGCTTGCTTTGGTTTTTTTTTGGTAGAAGCTTTTACTGCATTATAAAACTTGCATTGATTTATGCTGAGCACTAGATGGTGCTCACATAAGGCAAGAAGGCACCCTTTGGCACATTAAAAACCCAGTTTTCTGAGTGTCCAAATAAAGTATACTCATTTTTAGTAACTTTTAAGTTCAGAAGAGCACAAGGAAGATAAACTAAGAGTCAACAACAACAGTGAGGAGTAACCTTTATTAATATTTTGGTTTATTATCGTTTCAGCCATCTCTTGTGTAAAAATGTTGGAATCGGATTTCTGTTCCCACCCGCTGTTTCTTTAACTCGGATGCCCCTGTTTTCCAACACTGTAATTTTAACTGGTCCTGGAGCATGCTGTTTCGGTTATTTTTATTTTTCCTGATTTCATGTACGATTATGATTAACTTTCTTGAAGCTAAGTCTTTGTGCAGGCCCCTCATTATGCAAGTGAAGTTAGTCCTTAGTTGATTTCCTGGTAAAATGATCCTTAAAAGAAAAATTATACAAGTAATCCTTGTGTGAAGGAAAGTTATAAGTAAAGATCCAAAAGATAGTCATTCTCATCACAAAGAGAGGGCCATGGTTGATGTTCTCATCTCTAGTCTTCATGTTTTTTAATAATGCACATGTCTGTCTACCTTGAAGTTAGTTTAGACGCGGAGCCATCCTTTAGGACAGAGTAGGATTTCACCGTGGGCTTTCCGAGGCTGTAATCACTGCAGAAGCATAGTGCCACGTCTTTCTCAGCAGTGGCTGGTGTGTATGAACCTCCCCATTTTTAATTAATAGTCGAGACTTAACACTGAGCCACAAGGGCTTCTACCTGGGTGTGGACATGAGTGCTTGGGGTCTTTGTATCATAAAGATGAGCTCGTGGATTACTGTGAACACTTTTTAAACTTAATTTTTTTGACAATAAGTATGAATTTTTTTTTAATTGCCAAAATAGTTGCCTCCCACTTGCTAGCCTCTGCCCTCATGCAGCTTATGTTCTAGGAGGAGAGATGGGCTGTAGGCACATAAACTTAAATATATTCAGTCATTTCTGGAGATGTCAAGTTTTAAATAGAGCAGAGTACAGCAGAGAGAGGTCATGGAGAGAGATCGATTGGGAGCAAATGCAAACGGCAGATGGCGGGAGCTAGGAGACCTCTGGGAAAGCCGAGACATGAACTAGGTCCTGGAGAGGCTCGCCGAGCCTGGGGAAACAGCGCAGCAGGTGGAGGGACCTGCCGCTACACGCATCCTGAGACAGGAATAAGTGTGCGTGTCACAGGAAGAGCAAGCTTCCAGGGTGGCAAAGGGGTCTCTTCTCCAATGTGGCAGAAAACTGACCAGAGACGGATGGCACAGGCTGTAAAGGCTGTTGCCTGGGCTTTCCCAGGGGAGCTTGTTTCACCTAGGTATTTGGGGATTGAGTACAGTCTGCTGCAATTGAACGAACTCTTGTTTAATGTGGACATTCTATACTCACAGAATGCTTTCTTTTTGATGAATTTTTTTGTGTGAATTAGGTGGGGTGTGATTTGCATTTCAGGCCATCCACTCTGCATTCAACACCCAAACCACTCATCAACCTCTCCCACCCTGCATTCCACTGCACACCCCTCTCCCATTTCTCTTCTCTCCACTAGGGACCTCTGTCCTCTTTTCCACCCCAGTTAATACCTGTCATTCTTCTAATCTAGTCCTTCCTTGGCCCCCACTTGTGTGCTCTTTGCCCTCCCTCCCTCGGGAACTCCCAAAGTCTGTTCCCTTTGGTCTTTATCAGTAGAGTAGTAGAGTGTGTGCTCCTCTGTGATTGACGCTTCCAGCGTTCTCCAGGCCCGCCCATGCCAGGAGGTGTTTTGTGGCTTCCTTGTTGTTTTTAATTGATGCATAACAATGTTTTGTAAACTTACTTTGTTGTACTGGGTACTGTTAGAAGTGATTCTAAGTGCTGCCCCACCCCCACGTCTCTCCAGCATCATTAGATTGCAATTACCACTCTGATTTTTTCTTTCAGGCATCTCTCTTGCATTATAAAGTGCACGTAAGCTAAGCTAAGAGGCTGTGCTCGTGCATGGCATTGTTGATTTAGCAGTCCTTTATTGAGTGCTCGCTGTGTGCCAGGGGCTGGCCTCGGAGCCTTCGGTGCGCGTCCGCTTGATGGGGAAGATGCGGTTCTTCTCCCCACACCTGAGAAAACGGAGGCTTAGGGAGTTGTCTGTGACCACATAGCGCGGAGCTGGTGTGAGCCAGGTTTACACCAAGTTTATGAGACTCCAGAAGTGAGTTCAGGAGCCTTGGTGGAACCCACTAGAGGGAGAAAGATGAGGTGGTCTGCTCCCATGAAGATTATAGTCCTGGGCACCCTGTGGATCTCCAGTGGCCTATAAATGGGCTATGAGTCTCCACTCTGCACTGCCCCCATCATTCACTACAGTAAGATTTTTGTTCTGATGATGCCTTATACCTGATCCCTTTGCACAAGCTGGTGTGCTTCTTCCATGTGGGCTTTGT